CGAAATAGGGTGAATACATCTCATTACAATGATTTAGTGGTAGTCTCGAAACCCTACTTTCTTACGAATACTATTATTGATACGAAAAGCAAATGAATTGCATTGTTATTTGTATCAAAGTGCACGAAGGAGAGATTCTCTAGTCGATCTCACCAGAAGACGACGGCTCATTCGCGTTGACGCAGTCCACGAAACATCCTCCCTCTTTTCGGGTGACGAATGAATGAGCTTTCGTCTATCATACGCTGGACATCATCAGAGCTGGAATACATTCTTGTAGAAGCCCTATGGCTTTATCCCACCTTCTATGTATACTCATCACTAAAAAGCAAAACTGTGTGGGCCAATCATATTTCATATTGGTCATGCTACCTTCCTTCATGTGTGTGCATGTATGCGAAATAGCTGTCCAAGATAGGGAGTGATCGAAAAAGCTTAAGGTCAGGCTCTTGTCGTCAAGGCTTAATGGCCCAAAAGACCGAACTTCGAATCTCTTCTTCATGCACTTTCATACGAATTGAATGTCTCGCCAACGGTATTATTATTGAGTGTATTTGTAGGATTGTAAACCCATTTCGAGTATGTTCATGATATGGCGAACGAAAGTATATTGTCTCGGGGACAGCTGTAGCCAGAATGTTCCAGTAACGCCGACCGAGATCAGCAAGTGAGTTCAACATTATGCGATTGTTGATGTTGAAAAAAGATGATGTCACCCTTATGCTCATTCAGGCTCTGCGGCGGCATTTTGTGATAGCGCATTTTGGAAACCGATCAGATCAACCATATTCCACAAGACGGTCGCATTCACTCCCCCTCATGTATGCTGGGGTGTGCGTGCCTGTGTGTGTTGGTATGTGCTAGCTTGTGCGGATAAATGACAGGCCAGCTTGCCGATTGGCGCAGCCGTAGAATTACATTGGTGGCTTGAACTTAGACATTTGTCGGTCGTCAAGGGAGAAGCATAGGAGCAGAGAATTGGAAACGAAGGTTCGGCAAGCATTGCCAGGGCTAGGCGAAGTGATATTCTGTATCAACATGCTGATTTGTCGACACTGCTCCACTCTCCTATCCATCATCTTCCAAGTGCAAAATCATACACACACACACACAAACACACGTGTATGCATGCACATAAGAGTATGATCACATTCGCTCCCTCCTCCTCTCAACCGCATTGCACCCCTTACGCAATCGAGTCTCCTCTTCCCCACCATAGGCCCGGTCCATGCGTGAGCGCCAATTTGTATGGTACCCTGCCTGGCCTGAACTGTCCGAATAGGACGTACACGCAAGACGAGTGTTTCTGTGTCTACCAGTTGTGCAATCAATTTGCTATTTCAGTGCTACACCTACCAAGGTCATGGGATAGAATGCAAATTTGTCTATCCTCCTCTCTATCTGGCCCAGTGTACACCATTGCTCTCACGCTATGCTTCAATCTCTGGCTCCCTTTTTTCTGCCCGCCTCGTCCAGCACAAGCCCTACTCGCTGCTCCATATTCCATTTCGCTCGACCATCTCTTCCTCTCTCGAGCCCTCTCCACTTCCCAATGGTCGGTTTGCTTCGCTCTACTCCTTGCCGATAGCCTCTCGTCCACACGCTCCGTGTCTCCCCACGAGCAACTCGATCCGACCGCCGAACCAGCCCACGGGCTCCTGGTCGAAACGACATTGGTGTGGCCACATTCGCGTCCGGAAGTATGGGATGGAGGCTGGCATAGTGAGCACGATTGCGTGCACTTCATAGCCTTCCTTCCGTCGGCAGGCATGTCTGCGCGTGTTCTGTACCAGCCTCGAGGACCTAGTCGACAGAGCTAGACGCTTGTGAATGCCATCACCGCGCCGATTTCCACCTCGAGACTAGTCGAGAATACCATCAATCGGCAGAAGACTTCCCTTTTGCTCTTCTACTCCTCCTCTCCTCCGTAAACGGATATTCCCTACGCACAGCTCCAGTGCGATTGAACTGCTATTCCAGCTTCTGTAAACATGGTGACTCATAACTTGGATATACACAGAGCCATCTGGAATATACTGGTCACCGTCTTTTGCCTGTTGTCAGGGCTGTACAGGTCGGAGCCGACTGGGGAGCACAGCAACGCGGAATGGAGCCTCGTGTACAGCTTGTAAGTTGCCCAGTTCTCTTTGCCACTTTTCACGAACCCGCCGCGCGAGTACTCCTTGCATCGTCTAGGAGCACTTGATTGTGGAGAGTTCAATTTGGCACGAAAGTGCATGACGAAAGACAACCTCAGGTTTACGCAGGCCATGCGACATGCTCCATCGCGTCTGGTGAAAAAATGGTGGAGAATTCGTTCTTATTTTCGTATTAGAGTATTTACCAAATTTCGTCTAAGGTGATGAAGGACTGGTAGAAGAAGAG